TGTGTATTTGAAAAGTTTATCAGATCTACAGATGCACCCGCACTAAGAGAAACATGTCGAATTCAAAGTGCATATGTGCGTCCCAAGCCTCAGGCATAGACATGGGCATAGATGAAGACAACCTCAGGCGCGAAGAGGCCGGAGTGGGAGCCGCCGTTAGACCGAGAAAATTCGGTTCACCCTCCAATAAAAAGTTATCACTTCAAAAATAGGTAGGTTCTTTAAGGATTCAAAGGTACTTTTGCATAGTGAATGACCGTTCACTTACCTTCACCCATAAAAAGTAATATAAGTAATATCATGTGGTTCACGAGAGTCTATAAATAAATTAAGGAAACATTTAAAAGGGGACTTTAACAGACTGAACTTTTTTAATTAATCCATTAATAAACTGTATTTTAAAATGGCAAAAACGAATCATATTTTATAAATTGCGTTTTTTATAAAAGAGGGACTGAAAAAATGTTAATTTCATTATAAAAGTATATTACCTGGGATATTCCATTGGTTCTGGCCTATTGTATTGAGGTAATCCGCCCTGCGGCGGTGAAGAGTTTGCATTGTTTCTTGCGCCCGCAAAGTAGTTAAAATTCACTTTTAAGCCCGTAGGGTCCTTGTAGGAATAACTTCCTTGAATGTATCCCGTTGGATCGCCTTGAGCCGAATGAGATATACCATCCTCTGTTCTATACTGGAATCCAAACGTTCCTAAAAGTCCCATATGAAAGTGATCATGACAAAATCTTTAGAAAATTATTCAACGGTGTAATTTAATTACACTGTTATGCAGCATGTTTCAATTGATTTAAAATAAATTTCATGTTCACCGGAGTTGCGATGGGTGATAAAATTTTTACGATTTTCCAACATGCCAATTTCTGAAACTTATTGTGTTAGTCGTAAAAGGTTTACATGCGGTTGCTGCTGGACTGCAATGTTTCTATCGGTGTTTATTTTCAATTACTTTATTGCTTTCAGTGATTTTGTAGTCATTCAATCAAAAGGGCCACATCATAAGAATATGGTGGTGAAATGTCTTGAGCAGATTACCAAACATGCATACAACTTCACGAAGATTAACAAAAACTACCATACAGACTTTCTGTTGACTTATTTAATCAATCAAGATCTTAGTATGCCAGGAGCTGAGATTCAGGATGAATTATTGAAGCTTTTACATAAAAGCGACAAATACACCATTGAGGTACTTCAGTATGGCCGAACTGATTTCCAATCATATTTATCAAACTGCCCAACCGATGCATTTGAAATGCTTAGCCACTCATCAGATTGCATCAGAAAACACGTAAAACAGATGAAAACCACTGTGTATTTAATAGTAATGGATGATGTTGAAATGATGAAGAGCAAGCTGGAAAACATAGCAGAAACGTCCAGTTTCAACAGAGATGCCCTTTGCATCATTTATTACTCGAAAATTGGCAACAAAAATAATTTTGTCACTGGGGAAATCATTTCATACTTATATGATGTGATGGTGATTACAAAGATTGTGATAATGATGCCGATTAATTTGACAACTTTTGAAACATACATATTTAAGATTGATAATCAAAGCGGCATGAGATGTTTTTCGAAATCGGCGTTTAAAATACAAAAATCTTATCAGTGTAATCAAGGTTTGTGAATTGGTTTTTCAATGTTGCTTTTTTTAACGGGATGGATTTTAAAATATGTTTATTAAGAACATATTTCCAACAAGTATTACAGCTTTTAACTCCAAAGTGTATTTACTAGTATTCTTACATGTGAACGTAATCAGTTCTACGCTCGTTAAATTAAATTAAAATTAAATCGTTCATAGCAAACCTAACTCCAATATTTTGCCTTTTTGTTGAATTGTACGTCGATGCTTCAAAGTTTATAATTTATTTATCAGTAAACCGGCTGCCGAAGACCAGATGTTTTCGTATTAGGGCCGGCATAAAGCGGTGTGGCTTTGTATTTTCGTATATATTTTTAACTTATTTTATTATTTTATTGATTTATTGCATTCATATAAAATTTTTGTGTTTTTTGTGTAAATGGCACCATATTCTCGATTGGACTTATTACACGGCATCGCTTTTTAAGAACACCTTTTTTTTATAACTGCTGTCTATCTGGAAACCTAAAGAGACGATTAATGTCAATCATCTAATGTGCAAAAATATAAACTTTGACGGTGAAAGCAGCCGAAATTTGCAAAAATGAAGAATAAATATAATGCGAAAATATACAACCGATTAGTGTATATAACTTTAACGGCAATAAAACTGACTGAAGCAAAATTATGTTTAAATTCAGATTCTTGATATACAGGGCTCTAATACGTATTGTCGAAATGAGTCTGAATAATGGTGCATCATTTGAGTTGTGCGAGTTTTTGAGCATGGAAAATTCAGTCTCTCACTCTTTTGTTACCTTGTATACAGATGATAGGTGTGATTTGATTTGTCTCCCTATCAATTTTGAATAAAAATGTATAATCGAGCAATTGTTTTCGAAATATCGGCGGGTGAAACTAAAAAGTGAAAAACATTTTGGCCATACAACACCAAAAGTTTAAAATGATTGAATAATTTGAGCGCCCTTTATATTAACCGTTGCTTATAAGAGAAAAGAAATCGTGTTTTTGGTTTTTGAATATATAATTAAAGTATTGCAATCTCAGTAGCCGACACCCTGTATAATTAAGAAGAAAGGCGTTTATTGCTCCGTTCGGTTTATAATGATTAATTTATACTATAACTTATTATGACCAAGTGATGAAAACTATAATTTACAGAAATAATTGGGATATTTTTTAATTTGAATTTCGATTGATAAATCTGGACGATGTAATTAAAATTTCCTTATACGATTTGTTATCGATGAAAACATTTCTGTGCCTCACTTTTCATTTATTAACAACAAAATATAATTTCATTTTCATTTCAACTTTTTTCTAGTTAAATTTAACGTTTTTTTTTCAATTTTTCTTTATATCTTAATCAAAATTAATTCCTGTGTTTCAGTCATTTATTGTCTCTATTTATCAATTAAAATACGTTTCGGTGTATTTTTCCACCATCATCAGTTTTTATGTGTAGCGTTGTTCTACTTTAAGCCTTGGCATACATTTGGAGTATTAATTTTGTCCATTTTGGACAATAAATGACTGAAACCCAGGAATTAATTTTGATTTGGAATTGAAACACAGTCAGGAAAGTATGTACAATTTATATCTTAAGTTTACTTATCACGCTCTCTGGCTCAAGTTTAAACAAATATTGAGAATAAATTGAGGTACATGTTTAATGCAAAGCCAATAAAGTTCAAAATTTCTCATCTTTTGCCACTCATTACTCATATAACCATGTGAAAAACTGCAGTTATTCTGATTTCAGGAACTTTAGCAACTAACGGATCAAATATATTCCAAACGAAAGAACTGAAGAATTATCATCAGTGTTACACGCGCGTTCATGCTTTGCCATATGAGCCATTCGTTATTAGTAACCTTTCAGGAATAGAGACCGATGTAATAAACGAAATTGGAAAAGTCCTCAATATTTCCATTCATATTCAGTTATATCCAAGTGCCCCAATGGATTTGGGTGAAAAGTGTGATAACGGAAATTGGACCGGCTTTCTAGCACCCGTTTACGACTCATGGCATTTAGGCATTGGAAATGTTCCCCCCGAATCGGAATATATGGATGACTTTACGTTTACTCTTGACTACATTAGAGCCAAAATCGTTTATGTAGTTCCCAATGCAAATTTGGTTCCCAGGTATTTACCAATCAGATTTTCAGTAAAAACATATTGGTTTATCATTAATAGTTTTTTTATTTGATAATCCAACATTACTTATTGCTCATTATGAGCTTATATTATCATTATACAATCATCCCAAAATTCCAAATGTGCCTATGAGCTTTAGATTATAAGTTAAAGTTGATTTTTTCTATTGACTTCTTATCCATATGCCACTTAAATCTTGTTTTGATATAAATAGATTATTAGAATGTTTTTCAAAATATTTCTTCTAGACTTCTACGAATAAAAGTAGTATAACTTTTAATTAAAACCCTATTTTTTACCTACTTGGTGGTACGATCATTTGTGCAGAGCGAAATTCGACAGTTATGTTAATTGGTATTATGTTCACTTTTGATGAAATGTATTAATTTTTAATTAAAGAATTGAATGTTCAAAGATTTGGCTACGACAGAAAAAGTAAATCGAAACTGTTTTTATAGAACCACTTTTTTGCGTTTGTTTCTGAGAAAGTTTGAGATTTATAAAGTTGTCCACTTATCTGACTTTCAATTATCAAATACTCTTTCGGGCTTAAGCTTTTGAACGATTTGTATAATGATAAAATAAATCCCCACTATCTGATAAAAAATCGATTTCAAATAATAGACGTTCAGCGTTTTATTGGCTTTATTTATGTTGGTTTAATTTTCAATTAAGATTACAACTAAATTAATTTATCTGATTTTTTGCCAATTTTCTATTACAGTCAAGTACCGCTTTAATATGCATTGTTTCCTGTACCCATTGAACAATCTTTTCATTCAAACTTAAGAAATTGTCATTTAATTATTATTTTCAAAAACCAAGAAACAATTGTAATTTTTCACTTTAAGTAGGACACTCCAGTTATTCTCTCTCGACACGCAAATTATTCCGACTTTTTCCTTTTTCAAATATTAATTGCTTGTTTCGTCATTTCTGTCATACTTTCAATTTAGTCTTGACTTTTCATTAATTTTTATTTTTATAATTGAAGTAGTCGATGGTTCAACTAATTTGTCATCAAAAAAAGTATTTCAGTCTTCATCAAGCTTTTAATTTTGATTTCATCAAGAAAAAGGTACGCAGAATAGACTAAGCGATTGTTCTTACTTTGGCGATTTTAGACATTATTTATATATTTTATTTTAATTTTTAAATAGAATAAAACAAGACAGGGATTCTCAAAATGGTTCTGTTCTGTAAGGGCTTTCATGGGTTTGAAAAAAAGTAGCATCATGCAAAATAGTACTTTTTTGAAGCGCCAGAGAATTATTTAACGAAATTCGGTACTTACTGACCTGCAGAAAATTGCGCAAACTTATTCCAAGCATGTTTGTCAAAAAGCCATGTTTGTCAGGAAAATAATTATTTTTGTGCTCACGAACTCTACCGGACTTTTGGGAGAAAAATTTGTACGCTACTTTGATTGATGCGATCTTGATTATCACAACTTATTTAGATGGTCCGAAAACAAATACAACTTTTTATTGAAAACGGTTTTATTTTTTTAACTAATAATCTTTACAAAATTTATTTAAATATATCTCCCTACGGTTTAACAAAATCTATCCATTAGCATTTGAGAAAATGTAGTTTTAACACCTGGTAAATCGGGAACAAAATATCTATAAAACAAAATTAATTATTTGTATTAGAATTAGAATTATTTTCAATAATAATTTCATTTAGAATTCTGAGATTTTTCAAACGCAACTTTCTCAATCTACGGATTTTTTTCAGTTGGCGTACATTTATGGTAATCTTCAATATAGAGATATGGGGAATATGTCTCTTAGCAATAATTAGCTTTGCTGTTGCTTTTCGCGTTTTAAAAACCAAAAGCGACGATCGGTCCTTTAGGACGCTTCAGAAATGTTTCGCGGTTGCGTTTCAAATCCTTATAGCGCATCCCATAGAAAAACAACCAAAGTCCGATTTTACCAGAGTTTACTTCATTGCATTAGCCATGCTATCGATAGTGCTGAACTCGGTGTATACTTCTTCAATGATTTATTTTCTTCAGAATCCTATAAGGGAACATCAAATATCAACTGATAAAGAGATTGCCAACCGTACGTATATGCAAGCCAAGTAGCCATAAAAAAATTAAAGCGTTATTTACAAGCAGATTTACCACTCGGGAGTTCACCAAAATATAAGGAAATGTTCAATGGATCATCGAACCAGTTTGCGAAAGTAATGCACGATTCTTATATTACCGTTAATGAGAGTTTGGATACCAACAATTATTGGATAGCTAAAGTGGGGAACGAACGGAACATATGCACTTTGGGGATCGAAATCAATTTAAACTACCTTCTATCGAAAAAGAATCGACTGGTAACTGATAAATTTGGCAACGACAAAGTGTTCGTATTGGAAAAGCCTTTGAGAAGTCAACCGGTAAGTTGGTGTCCAAAATTGCACCACATCTTTGCCATGTTGTGAATGTTTGTTTTCTAGGTGGGCATTATAATGAGAAAAGGTAACTTTTTTCTCGATAACTTTAATTCGGTTATTCAGAAATTGATAATTGAGGCTGGGATTATCGAAAAAATTAAGAGCAAATATTTGCAATCGACTGTCCATTCTATGGGAGACCATGAAATGTCCGAAAACAATAACAATATGCACAGTTCCAGTAATTTAGGACAGTCAGCTCTTTCCACTCATCATCTCGAAGGAGCTTTTGCCATATTAGCTTTAGGGGAAGTTTGCGGGTTTTTAGTGTTTGCTTTTGAAATTGTTTACTGCCGAGTGTTAGCAAAGATGAATACATAAATCATATAGTAAAATGTGGAAGAAATATTTTATTTAAGATTGCTATTGCACTTAGAGATTTACTTGGTGCGACGAGTCATTTGCATAGTTTTTTCAACATATGTGGTCTGGATTGATTAAAAACGCTCTCAACCTACTAATAAATTGTATATACTTTTCTGAGTGTGTTTCAATTCCAAATCAAATTCAGTCCTGTGTTTCAGTCATTTATTGTCTCTATTTATCAATCAAAATACGTTTCGGTGTATTTTTCCACCATCATCAGTTTTTATGTGTAGCGTTGTTGCTGCTTTAATACATTAACCATCAGGCAGAGCAAATTTTCAGATTTTCAGAAAGCAAATTTTGAGTAAAAAACTAATCAGTGCTTACCATCTACTTTCGGTTCCACTCGTGAATCTTGAATAATAGAAGGATTGAATCGAGATTGGGAAGACACGCAGCTAATGATGAATAGAAGCCACACGCACTGAAAAAGTAAATGGGTTTGAAAAAAATTAAACGGAAAAATTATTCTTGGGCCAATTGTAGAATTAAAAATAAACTAAGTTTTAAGGGCAAAGTGCCATTATGAAAGCCCACCTTCGCAACATAATAATATAGCGAGATCGAAGATATGATCTGAAAAATCATGTAATTATATCGATAGAATATTGATGTAATTTTCATAGCTAGTTCTTAGAACATCTACCTATAGGAATGTTTTTTTACGTAAATGCACACATAATTGGCCGTGTAGTTAAATAGTTAGTTAGTTGGTAATGCTCAGTACTAAACAGCAACAAGGCAGGAAGCAATGGTTGGTTTTCTTAGTATTTCTCGCTCTAAATTTACGGTCATAAGATTTTTTTCTTAGACTGAGGAAAAAGCTGAAACCTACTGATGCGAAAAATATATAGCATTTTCAATAATAGTACTTCGATATCCTTTGGCTGAAAAGAAGACGGCCTGGCCTAACTTAATTTTAATCAAGGAAAAATGTATGGTTCTTCTGCTATTGATGGTCAAAATTTCTTCGAAGTAATATTTTTATTGTAAAATCTGGAGAATGTTACGATGGACTGTAGTAAAACTTCCTTTGAATTTATTCCTAATGGAAAAAATAATTAAATCATGGAGTACATTTTTTTATTGGAGATTCTGAGGAGTTTCCAGAAATAAGTAGAGCTCAATTCAATTTCAATCGCAGGATCCACATAAATGAATCTGGGACAGAATCCAACTATGCATGTACGAAAACGGTGTATTTTTTTCGAACTATTCTCCAAGCATTTATCATCCAGTTTCCTACTTTCCTCTATTCTGGGGTAGAAGTTATACTATTAAATTTCAAATTGTTATTTTTCAACTTTATTTAAACACTTGACACCACAGTGTAATATATTTGGTCACGTAGTTGAATTCTTTTATATTAATCATTAAGTGTCATTTCTGAGTCTACTTTAAAATATGTCGTTTCATACTGATTTCCATTTTATTTGCTTGGTTTTTTCTTCGAAAATTGACCGTAGAAGGAATTGAAATGCAAATTGACTTTAAAACTTTCTAATTAAACAAGTCATTTTTAAGTTATATTTTCATTTGGTTTTTTCATAGTAATTATTGGCTTAACTTTATATTGTATAAAAAATGCTTATGCCATAAAATTTCCATTGGTCTTTCCACATTTACATATATATTGATTGGTAATTTTAACGAAAAATTAACTAGTTTATAGCACTCAAACGAAAAAGGTTTCTTATATAATTCCATATATCAATATACTTTTTATGTGGGCCGTTACATTGTTGTTAATGATTGGACAAACGTGCATATGTTAAGTTGTAATCGTTTTTGAAATTAAAAAATCATTAATTAATGTTGTCTGTACGTGTAGTAGGTTCATTTATTTATCATTCTTACCAAGTGAGGTGCTAAACGTATTTGCCTTTAATTTATTAGGATTAATGTGCTATTATGCTACTATTATTTACTTAATTTTTAATTATATCAGAACGATAATTACATGCTTCAACGATCAAATTTAATGCGCAATATAATGCACAAATAGTAATAAGTGTGAGTATTTTTTAAGAATGTTGTAGCTTATATACAATGTCGTTTTAAAGATACTGGAGCCAGTATATTAGCTTTGCAATATTTGACTTGAATATATTAAAATCATGATTATTATAAATAGCTGATTAGCTGATTATAAACATTGAGCTAATTGATACAAGATATTTTGTAGTCTCATAGACCTCAGTTTCGTAACCAATATTTGTATTGTTTGGAAAAACCCATTTCAGTTTTGAAATAGTTTATGAACGAAAAACTTTCATTTACTCATAAAACACGGATTTGATGCAAAATCTGAAAAAAAAATGACAGTAGATTGTTAGTCTAACAAAAATATGCGAATGTCTTAAAGAAGTCTAGAGTTTGTATTTTTGGAAGAAGCTATCAATTCAAATGAAAATAACATATCTGGTAAATTTCAAGTAAAACGACTGTTAAAGTGTATCATTTCCATATAATAAACCATTATATCAAATAAAGCAAAACAACAATACTTAAAGGAATAACTAAAAACAAACAAATATTTGATATTTTTGAATAAAATGAAAAATTGACTTCAAAAATATCATAGGAATTACGGTCGAAATACATAGTTTCAGAATGAGTTTTGAACACTTTTATCCACAGAAACGACTATACTCAGATACAAGTTTACAACAACAATGTTACAACGTTTTTCAAGTATAAGCCAGAATGAAGAAAATCGGCATTTTCCATAAACTTAGTGAAATAATGCCAAAAATAGTACAACTTTATTAACTAACAAAATTAACACTTACAAATGCACTGCTCAGATTCATTACTAAATTCACTACACTTGACTTGTGTAAACAGTATGAAGAATCTTGTAGACTGATTTTCTGAGAAAACCGACAAAATAGCTCGAGGTATATGTTTATATATTGTCACAAAAGCCGCACCCAATCCAATGTTGGCGCTTAAGATGTCGGAAAACAATTCTGCATCCTGAATGTCTGAGTTGAATTTTTATTTTGCATTTTTATGATCTTGTTTATGGGTATAATTTGATTTAATGGACAAACAATTATTCGCTTAGCTATTGGCTAACGGTAACAAGCGAATTAATGGTTGCTAAACACAGGAAAGTAATCTGATAAGGTAAGGTAATGCTTAATAATGTTTTCACAACTGTTTGTTTTTCATATACTATATTAAATATTTTTTAAGCTACGTACTCAAGTCTTGCGTATTATTTCTTACAGACGTTGTCGGGTAAAAAATAGGAAACTGATGATTTTAACAACCAAAATATGCGTGCGACAAAATATCGCGCTAAGACAAAAGCTTTATTTTATGTGTACCTAATTTTCAATTTTCGAGAGTTTTTGAATTTGCGAAATAATATACAACATATGGAGTTATTAAGCATTGAGAAATCAGGTGATGATCCTCATCATTACGACGAAAAAAATCTGCACAATTCAATTGGGAACATCAAAAACAGAGACACAAAAATATTTTCAATATTTTTGTTGCTCGCCTAAGAATTAATAACTGAAATGAATAATATTTCATTGATTAATGCATAAATAAATTCAATTGAGCTAATCTTAATTAATAAATATGTGTAGAAAATTGAAAAATGGTGGATAAAACACTTCTGTGTGGCCACCTACAACTCATGAAAATTCTAGAAATACATTTCCAGTTAACATTGTGCTTATTTGCCTCTAGTTTATTCATGTAGTGGCCTAATTGTGATTTCAGAAACCTAAAAATATAAAAAATTCGTATAAAAAGTTCACACGCTGCTACAGTGATTCTTACGTTCACGTGTGGACGTGTAGACAATGCATAAATTACAGCTTCGGCCACATCGACGCTATTTAAGCCAACTTTCGGCAACATCGACTTTGATAGGCCAGCAACTGCTTGAAATTCTGTTTTAACATACCCCGGGCTGATACTCTATATTTTTTTAGAAAATTAACAACTTTTAACATTTGCGTTTCAACAAACTTACCGTTACTTTGATGGGCAATTCCTCATTAGCCAAATCATTAATCAAAGTCATTGTTAAAGCAGTTACGGCATACTTTGAAGCTCCATAAACATTAGTTTTTGGAAAATTCATAATTTCATGTCCAGCAATGCTGTTGAGATGAATAATGTGTCCCCTGGTACCTTTGGTTTTCATATTTTGGATAGCTTCTCTGGTGGCAATACATAAAGCTATAACGTTGGTGTCTAGATTTAAAAACAAAATTAATTCAGATTTTACTGCTCAGAGTTTTTTGCACTGTACCAAAGCACTTTTTCCACATTTCTGTATCACCATTGATCAAGTCGGTTTCAAGCATAAGTCCTGCGTTGTTTACCAAAATGTGAATGTCTCCTAATTCGTTGATTATTTCCTTGAAAGTAGAGACAATTTCATCTTCTACCGTCATGTCGCATTTATATGCATAGAGTTTTCCGGGTTCGTCCTTCAATTCTTCTGCCATTGAAACAATGCGGTGTGCTCGTCTAGCTAAGCCCGCAACCTAGTTTGCCATTTTCATTTAGTTTAGTATAATTTTTTTATTAATTTCTAATTTTACAATTATTCCATGTTTTACCAATGCCTGCACAATAGCAACTCCAATTCCGGCCGATGCTCCAGTCACAACCGCTACTTTCCCAGAAAACCGTTCCAAATTGGCCATCATTTTTATTTTGAAGAGTTTTTGACGATTTTCTAAGAGGATTTAACAACATTTTTATACACTTTGGTCAATAAAATATGAAGTCAATATTTAAAAAAAATTCAAAATGTCCTGGGTCAATGCGATCGTCAAATGGTAGTCTGGTAATATTTTTATCAAATAAACGTTTGATGTCAAAAAAATGTTTCAAAACTTTAGTCTGCCTCAAAAACCAATTAAAGCACAAAAATAATAATTCAACAGAATAATGGTCTTAAATGTTTATTGAATCAAGATTAAAATGTAAACAATCAAATCATTCTCACTGAGAAATAAGGCCACTACAAGATGATATAGAGAATCCATAACAGCCATGAGATGGACAGAGGAAAACGCACTTTCAGTTATTAGGAACTGGTAATGAAGTTTGTAGGTACAGCAGTCAACAGCGATTAAAACTCCAATTAAAATAAAGAAAAAATAGTAGTGAAAAAGCATTTACCATACAGAAATTAATACTTTTATGCAAAATATAAAAATTTGGAAAAAAATTAAAGAACTTTCAACAAAAGTAAACAACAATGGTTGAAGAGAATAAAACAGTAATGTAACAAATACAACCTGAAGTTGTGACAATGGCAGTATTCTGAAAATCAATTGCAAGATGATACGGAAGGTCAATTGCAAGAAGCAGAATATATTAAAGTATAAATGTATTATAACGTTGCAAACAATATACTTTCAATAATCCGTACAACATCAGGAAAACGGTCTATTTAAAGCAAAACAAGAAGCAGCAATGAAAGATCATATTAAAACAATATAAATGGTCGCATTAGATAGAAAATACAAAAACTAATAAGCAGCAAATAAATTTATGAGAAAATGGCAGCGTAATTCATAAAAAATATAGGATAACATAGACTATACTGACATATGACTATAAAATTAGATACTAAATTCACTAATTAAAAAAATACTGCAAAAGACTGTACTAACTACACAAGTATATAAATAACTAATAAATATCTACAGCTATGAAAATGGATGCAAAAATATATGAGCATGTAATGGGATCAATAAAAGGCCGAAATATTATTCAAGAAAATTTATTCAAAATAGGAAAAGCAATAAAGAAAGAATACAACAGGAACGGAACAACTACCTAGCTATTAGACTGAAAGGAACAACAGAAAAAATAAATCAACATATGAATAGAAAGCAGCAAAACTATTTTTTACAATAACTACAAATATATTAAAAAATTGTTTTATTTCAAACATTGATTTTTCAAAGAAAGCTTACCGCTTGAAAGACAATTTCCAGAATCCGCTTCCGAAATGAATGTTTTACGTTATTGTAAAAAACTGTTTAACCACTAGTAGCGATCTATTTATAGTAATATGAGTAGAATAAGAAGGGATACATTACTAAATGACCATATCGAACGGAGAAATTATATATTTATGAAATATTGACTTTTAGGTCTCCGCATTGCAGGTGGTTTAGGATGGGTAATTCATTGAAGTTTCAGCTCCCCGACATTGAGGAAACTCTAAGCAGTACCTTCATCTCTTTTTTCCTTTGGTAATTGCGGATTTTTAAGTACCCGTTTTTTGGGGCTTGTTTTTCGCTTGGCACCTCAAAATTCAAATATTTATGTTCCTTAGACTCTGACTCGACCTCAGCTTCATCTTGCGAACCTTCTGGACCGGGCATTTCAATTGATGAAACGGTAGGCCTATCTTGCATGAAAGGAAGAAGGAAGTTCATTTCTTGTCCAAACTTCCATTTTCTAATAATAACTGCCGCCTGGCCACTCTTTGCTTTCCGCTTTTTTGTCAATCTCTCAGAAAATTCCATTGTTTTTTGCAATCTTTAGCTGAAAAAAGGGTCTTAATTAACAATCAAATTTTATTTTTGGCACTTAGCTGCTGAAGATTAATTCAAAACAATTTCATATAGTTTTCGACTCGGGCGTTCAACGCTCAAGTCAATTGTTATGGATGTTGGAATAGCTGAAGGGTTTTGGAAATTGTAGAATTTCCATAATTGCATCGGGGCAATTGATGGGAAATTGGGGTAATAACGAAAATAATAGTGTGTAGTCTGTGGACCGTCGTGTGTAGTCTGTGCGCCTAAAATTGTCACGTCACCCAGACCAATTTTTCTATTCTATTCTCACTGCTATTATCAGAAATATAAACAAATTTTTAGTGAATCCTGAAACAGAATTCACGTAAACTCTAACCTGGGACAAATCTTCACTGAATCTACCTAATAAAGGAAGCTTAAGAATGAAAACCAATCAACTTTTTGTATAATTCTTTCATCTTATTATTAAACGCTAAGATTTTCATGCGAAAGGGTATTTTATTATTTCTTCAGTTATTGTCGTGCTCATAGAGACTTACATTCTACAACATGGATTAATTACAATACAAATAAATAACATACAGGCCAACAAAACATAGGTATATCATATATTGCTAGACAGTGCAGGCCATTTCTGGTTATGGGCGTAAACTATTTTCATTTCTGGGCAAATTTCCAGCAAAAATCCTCTAATGTCCTTTCATGCGTTCAATGGCCGAACGGTGATTTCAGTTACCTAAACGTACGGAATAAATACATTCGAATAATCCTTCTAAATATTAATATTACGTTGACTTCAGGACGTGTGGACAAAGCAAAAATTACCGCTTCAGCTACATCAACACCATTTAAGCCAAGTTTCGGCAAAACCGAACCTGGAACATTTGCGACTTCTTGAAATTCCGTCTTAACATATCCAGGACTAACGCTCTGAAAATGTGCTTAATTTATTTAAACCTCTGCTAATTTTTCGAAAGACATACGGTAACTTTAATGGGCAAATTTTCTCGTTCCAAATCGTATACCATAGTCATGGTTATAGCGGTTACGGCATATTTCGAAGGTCCATAAACATTCGAGTTGGGCATGTTTAGAACTTCATGTCCAGCAGTGCTGTTTATATGAATAATATGACCTTTGGTGTCCTTCGTTTTCATATCTTGAATGGCTTCTCTGCTAGCAATACAAAGTGCCAAAACGTTCGTATCTGGAATTTAATAAGACATTTATATTTCAAAAAATTTGGGACGTTTGTTAGATACCAAAGCACTTCTTCCATTTGGCCGTTTCTCCATTGATTAAATCGGTGTGCAGCATCAGCCCTGCATTGTTAACCAAAATGTGAATATCGCCCAAATCACTGATTATTTCCTTAAAGGTGGAAATTATTTCGTCTTCCACGGTTAAATCGCATTTATAAGCATGGAGCTTTCCAGGCTCATTTTTTAACTTCCCTGCAGTCGCTACAACACGGTGGGCTCGCCTAGCTATGCCTGCTACCTAAATTTATCAATTTTTGTTTTTAATTGTTAGAAAATATTTAATTCAATTACATTTTAAATTGTCTAATGAAACATTTTCGGTGCCAAGGAAAATTTATGGAAATGAAAAATTTTCATGTGATTGCATTCTGTGTTAGAAAAAACAGATACCTACGACAATACCGTGTTTTACCAATGTTTCCACAATGGCAACACCAATTCCTGACGAGGCTCCAGTGACGACGGCCACTTTTCCAACAAATCGCTCCAAATTAAGCATCTTTCTTTAAATTTTCAGCTCTCTAAAATGTTTTATTGCTAGTGAATTATTTACAATCATTTTACTAATCTGGCTTATGGTATTTTTCGTACGTAACAGACTTTTAATTGATGTAAGAATCCAAAGAGTACCTTCAGCTGTTGCTAAAGAACAGTCTTCACTTTGTGCAACTTTCGTCGGGAACATGTAAAACACATAATAATCTAACAAACATATTTTTAAATTTTAAATAATTTAATAATTGATTGGGACGTGGATTTTCAAAGGTTCGGCCATGATTTTTGAAGTGTACAAAACGCTTTCTTGAATATAATTTTTTAAGCTGTTTGCACGTTGCAAGTTCCAATTATACTTTTTTATTTTATCTATTATCTCAAGTATTTGGTATCAACACTTATTTTTTTTTTAATTTTTTAATTTTTTTAGCGCAACAATTAACCGAAAATAAATAATCATAAAATTGATTAGACATAATAAGTGTTTTTCGATCGTTATCGTAGACAATTTAGCGATGAGAAAAATACTTTAAATTAAGCTCACCAATAGAAACCAACTTTCAAGTTGCAGGTTTGTTCAAAGACTGACACGTACTGCTCAGTTTATGAAACTGATCACCCGATAACGGATGTACAATTTATTACATTAATTTGCAGATCAATATAGAAGTTGATATTTAAATATTCACCAAACTTAGTTTGTATTGTGATTGGACATTTCAGGAATTTAATGATATGCAATTTCAGGCTTGAATGCTCCAAACTCAATATTTTAATGAACGTGTTTGACAATAAATCATTCAATCGTTCTTTTAAGTATTTTTTAAGGTCCTGATTCACCAACTGACAATTATCAGAAAATTGTTACAAATTGTACACTGAAACTTTCGAGATTTAGTTCAGATTTCTTCTGATCAGCGGTAGAATTTGGGTTAGTAAATAATAAAATAAAAATAAAATAAATTTTGACCTTTCCTTGAACTTTTTGACCATTCAGAAAAAACTACAAATAATCGAAAGGAGAATGATGACGGCTCAAGTAATTGTGTGTATCAAATAACCGTAGACTTTCCACCAAATAGAAGTCACTGCTTAAAGGAAAACTAGACAATTTCCGGGATTGAATTAACCGGTATAAATTGCAATAATCAGAAGAATCGTGGAAGATCAAGTAGAATTTTTTGAATGCAGGTTGTAAATGTCGAATAGCAGAAAGTGTAAAGAGAAACAAGATTTGGAAAGCCTTAGACCGAAGAAATTTAAAAGAGAGACATCAAAATACATTATAAGAAAATTTAATAAAAGCATAATTTCATTTTAAACGTTTGATCAAGTTACTTTTTTAATTTATTTGCGTATATGCTTAATTACTCAAATAAATTAATAATAAATGCAAAAAATTCAATAATTTTAAATCTTTAAAATCTTAAAAATTAATAATAAAATAAATTTATACGCGATTTGTCAGATTTCTTATTTTCTCTTCGAATAAATTCTCAGTCGAAATCCATCAACACCCACGTTTCAGTTTACACCATCGAGAGTCAACAGAAAATGTTTAACTCAAAAGCCAGGAATTTTCAGCAATTTTATTCCAGTTTTTAAAAAAAATTCGTCGTTTAATAAATCATCAAGATCATAAATCAAAAGATCAAACCGACCAATGTTTTGAGTTAAAGTGACTGGAACTTTGAAACGCAGTGACTTCCATCTTAACATTTGTTCAGCCAATCAAAAATAATAAAAATATTTGAAAATTAAATTACATTCTAGTTTCAATTATAAATATATAATAATTCTCAAAGATACAAAAACAAAGGTCAAAGTGCTGGTAAAATTCAAACCATCATACATAAAATCTTGCTTGCTTTCATCTAAAATTTTACGATAAATCTAGGAATTCATTTTATTGATTTGACCCCAGAAGAAAGTTCTGCAGGATAAACAAAATAAATGCTTTTTTAACAGCCTCAATCAATAATTACAGTGCATAAAGAACAAATTCTTGCGAATACACTTATATCTAGAAATACTCAAGTTTAAATCTAAGCTACTCAAGGTTTCTTAGATTTTCGAGTGAAACTAAGAAAACTAGAAGAAATAGAGACTGAGAAAATTTAATAGGTATCAGAAACAAGAAGAGTAAATGAGCATGATCTCAGGCCGAATATTTACTTTCAAGCGCGTCGCCTCAAGTCATTAAACGAAGAGTTTCTTAGAGTCCAAAAATTTTTTCAAAATTTTTCACGTTTTTCAATATTCACACATTTTCCAGGGACTTATGAACTTGTAAGAGTAAAAACGGATTGCATTAGTAAAGAATACCAACAAAAAAGTCTATAACTGTCTTGTATTTCCCATAAAACATTTAAATAATTAACGGAACAGAAAACAGTAGGTGGAATCAGAAGCATTGAAAGTTTAGAAGATCAATAGCCAACAATAAATTTACAATACATACATTTATTTTACCAAACTCACAATTCACATCATAACCACATCACCTTGGTTCAGTCTCTCAATATCTCCATATTGCATATACAACAATAAATAAATCTCGGTAATTTATCGCAATATACAAAATACAAAAAACTCTATAATACAAACGTACAGGAAACAAAAGTGGACATTTTTTAAAGGCAGCACAAACGCAACGTTTAGGCCTTGTTAAAGCTATAGCTGAAACCATCAGGGGATCTGTTCAGAGACAGTTTGCCTGGTGGGTAGAATCTGTGAGGGGCTGGAGTAGTGGAGTAAGTGTCATAGTTGGGCTGTGGCCTGTATTGAGGCTGTGGTTGAGGCTGGTATTGAGGCTGAGGTTGAGGCTGTGGCTGATATTGGGGTTGGGGTTGGTACTGAGGCTGAGGTTGGGGTTGGGGTTGAGGTTGTGGTTGGTACTGGGGCTGGGGCCTGTATTGAGGTTGTTGCTGTTGAGGTGGGCGGTACTCAGGAGAATTGTACTGGGGAAGAGGCTGGTATTGAGGCTGAGGAGCCACAGGCAAAGTTGTGGGGAGCGCTTGAGGGATACCGTCTCCAGTTGCAGCAAATCCATGCTTTCCGGCTGTGTAGCTGATGGTGTGTCTGCAAAAAAACGAATTAACTCCCATCAAGGAAAACAACCTGAATAATTACCTTTGGCCATTGGGGTCCAGATATGAATAGGAACCTCTGCGAGTACCATCGGGGTCACTTTCTTCTTTGAAATTCACTCCGTCCTCTTGGGTGTAAGCTGCTCCAAATCGCCCATCGCCACCAAGGTATCTCTGTTCAGCTAAGATAGCAGCATTTTTCGGATCACCTTGGTAGTTTTGGCCTAAGCTTAATCCTACTACTGCCGAAAATATGACCTAAAAACACAATAAACACGACCGTTAAATCTAAAAATATTTTATTGCATCGATTTTATAGAATACTTTGGTATTACATATTTAATTTGTGAGACATTTCAACTTAACAAACAAGGTCGATTCCTTGTTGTAACAATGCTATTGTTAAAACAACTTGTGAATTATTGAGCTGCAATGATCCAGTTTTCTAAAAACCTTATATTACGTTTAATTGCAGTCGAAGGAACTTATTATTGTCCTGGAGTTAGACTTGGTGATAAATTATAAAATATTCTCGGATTGTCGGAATATGGCAAGGATATTATTAGTTATATTCATTTCAGAGTTATTTAGGGCATTTTATGGTGACTTTCTTATGATTATTACACAAAAAATGCTGGTTGGTTTTTGGTTTTCAATATTTTATTAAACTTGTTATTTCCCATGTTTAACTTGGTGTAAAAAATTAATAAATTAACAATAATAGAAAAGTGGATGGCATACCTATTTTAGAATGAGAATGAGAACAATGTAAAATTTCGCGTTTATTTATCGAAAACAACCATCCATTTAAGACGTTCTTGGAATAGGTGATCAATCTCAAGAAGCACGGTGTAGAAATGTTAAAGAATTCAGCGACATTTTTCTATTAATTCCTGGAACCTTGAAATCTAAAAGTATACAGATTTGCAATTCTACAGTTTTCAGTTCACATCATTTCAGTCAACAGGTCAGAAAGACAATAAATCTATTGGCACAAATTTGATATATTTTTTTTCCGGACGCGATGGGCGCACGGAAGAAGACAAAACAAACGACAATGTTCGTATGAATAACAATTTTATATTCAACTGCGCTCTCTCCTTTAAAAATTCTCAGCTTCCAAACTGAAGCAAGTAGGATTTTTAAAATTTCATCATCCTTAGGCAATACTTGAGCCTCAAGATGTTGAGAGTTTCATAAAAATTGTCGAAAATCTTGAGTATTTTCCAGCTTGTTAAATGTGAGTCTCAAAATGGATGTTTTTTCCAAACTGCGCTCTCTTCTTTAACAATGTACAGCTTCTAAACTACTGCAGGTAGCGACTTGAAAATTCCCTCATCATTAGAACATGAATGAATCTCAATTTCCCGAGAGTTGCATCAAAATCGCCCAGAATCCTGACTTTTTCCAGCATGTTATATGTCGGTCTCAATATGGATATTTTTTGTCAACTACGCTCCTTTCCTTTAGAAATTCGCATCTTGCAAACGAATGCAAGTAGTGATTTTGACAACTCACTATCTTCAGAAAATAGTTAATTTTTAGAATCAGAGAAGTTTTATATAAATGGCATACTAACGCGCTTTTTTCCGGCTTGTTAAATGTGAGGCTCAAAATGGTTGTTTTATTGAACTGCGCTCTATTTTTTTAATTTGCATCTTTCAAACTAAAGCAAGTAGCGATTTGCAAAGATCACAGTCCTAAAACAATACTTGAGTCTCACGATTATCAAAGTTTCATAAAAATACCTGCTTTCTTAATTTTTTTCAGCGTGGTTTGACTGTGGACTTATTCCTCAACTCTGCGCTCTCTCCTTTAAAAATTTGCATTTTCCAAACCAAAGCAAATAGTGAATTGAAAATATAACCATCTTTAGAAAATATTTGAATCTCGAGATGGAAAAACTTTCGTAAAAATCCCCCATAATCGTGTTATATTTTCCATGTTGTTAAATGTGGATTTAAAAAATGCGGATGTTTTCACTCAATTGCGGCCTTTTATAAATTAACTTCAACCAAAGTAAAGCCACTATCGGTTTGAAAATTTCTCCTTCTCTTCAAAATACGTGAGTATCACTCATTGCGTGTTATTTAAAAAAAATCATTATTTTGTGTTGCCTTTTTTGTTTGATAGCACTAAAGCATGCATTTTTGGGAGCGTTTGCCGCTTTTCAATTATCTTTTGGAAAAATATTATTTGCATAATTTTACATTAGTATCAGCTATATCACGAGGTTTCGGTTCTGCGATACCAACATATCTTTTTATGACAACCGCTGTGTTTGTTTTCAAGTTCACAAATTATATTTTTGCTATCGAATAATATTTAATGTTTTTTTTTTAACTTTTATATCACTTTTTTGTCTAAAACCGGACAAAGAGCTTAGTGAATAACCGCAAATTACTCATCTATCGAACTAGACTGTCACCAAATTTGAAGAAAGTTGTAAATATTATTTTAAGGTATTTTAGGAACAAGAGCATCAATGAAGTTATTTTCAAATAACTAGAAATATTAAAAATGAATTTTATCGATTTAACCGTTAAATTTATGTCTCAAAAAACTGATAGTTTTCCATTTACTCTTTAATTCAAATAATGATATTCAAAAACTCAATTAGAGGAAAAAATAATTACAAAAGTAAATATTTTAAGTAGCCCCTGAACGATGCCCAATTCAATAGTCTTAAATAGCCAAAAATAACCGAACTCTGGCTCCTAATCAGTTTTAAGTAAAACGAATTACAGTCGAAAAAATTATAATTCCGAACTGCAGTTAAAGGAAAAAAAAGATAATTAGTTTTAAGGACACATTAGATGAAAAAACCTATAATTAGAAAATAATGGATTTAATTTTGTTTAGGTGAAATGTTAGTAAAGTGAATCAGGCTCCAAGAAGGCCAAATTTGACCAAAACATAAAATCGTTAAATATTTAAGTTATAATCCGTTTGCTAAAATTTTTTAACATGAAAGACTGTCAGGTAAACTAGATGCACTACACATGAGTAATTATCAAAATTTAAAATTTGTAATCAAAACAATATAAAAATTAGTTATTTAATGAAGTATCTCCGGCTTTTGTACTGTTTATGATGTACAAGCGAAAGGAACAATTAAAACTGCAAAAATCACCTAGCAATAATTAATTAAGTATGAGAAAAAGTGATACGACAGGAACAAGAACATTACAAAATCTACACAATGAGATTCATATGTCCTTTCCCTATATAACATTTTCGATTTGGTAATCCAAAGGGTCAGAGGTGGAAAACCGTGCTAATCGAAAACCTGAAAGATCAGCAGTTGGTATTACTTAAATGCCGTAAATAAGGAACAATTGTTTCTCATTATGCACGTTTTATGCAAATAGCAACAATAAAGGTTAAATCTATCTCAGCGAATTCTTGAATAGATAAATACTGGGTGTGTCCGAATCGGCCTATTTATAAAAGCGCGCACAGTGATTGTGAACTTTTCGAAGCTAATTAGTTTGGATAAATATCGATATTGTCACAATTAAAATTCGAGGGCAATTTAAATAGATCGAACCTGTTTAGATATGTTTTTGATTTATGTAATAAAATTCTCGGTCTAAGGTTGTATGCATGTGCAAGTTGGTTGACAGAAATTCACTGGGTAGCACTTGGTTGGTTCGTTTTTTGCGCTCAGGTTGCTTACCTTGACTATACCTGAAATCAACTTCCTGAATTTCATGATTCTGGTACGAGTGTGTGATGCAAACGAGAGCAAGAGGTGCAAAGTGTATTAGAAAAATCAACTCAAAGTTCGTATAATCTCGAATGTACATGAGAGCAGGTCAAAGATGTTATGCATAACGCATATTTTTGTTATGCAAAAGTAAAAAATATGGATTTAGTTTGATTCAAAACTGATCATAGAGGATAATGAAAGAAAACACTTTGTTCATAAAGGTGATTTTTTGAATTTTTTTGTCTATGTTTTATTTGTCTAGATAGGTACCCAAAAAATTAATGAATAGAAATACTATTGCAGCCTAAAATTTTAATTTTATTTCTCAAAGTTACCTTAGTTAGTTAAAGTTAAAAACCTTTTTTTTGAAATGGTCGCATAAAATTTCAAATATTTTTAGCAACAGTCATGAATCAGTTGTAAAAGTAGTAATGAATTATTTATACTCACTAGAAGAAATATTTTGACGAAAATAAACCAAATAAAAACGTCGTACCAAAAGTCGCTACCAGCATAAGGGGAGCATGTGTATGTAATTTTATCCCGAGACTAAAATAATTTCCAAATTTTCTTGAAATTTAACGACAAAATGGTTATTCTATTAAATTTTTGAAGCTAAAAGATCAAATTTAGAAACTGAAATCAAGCCCTCTTGGGGGCTCTTTGAAACAACCATAAGCGTGTTTGTTGCCTTGTCCCAAATTTTTTGTGTTTGAATATGATTAAGTAAAGTAGGAACCATTTGAATAGGCAAGAAAAGTCGAAAAAATTAAAATACTCACTAAAAATTTCATTTTGCGAAAATCAGAGAAACAGTGCCCTACGACACTAACTATCACAAACTACTGCCCCCCAGTCCCCTGCCAGCAGTTTTTATACTTCGAAACAACCTTGGTGAGTGCGACCCTGGTAACAAACACTCCCTAAGAACTGAACTCGTTTTAGTACGATCTGTTCTTAAAAGTAAATAGTGCGGGAGTACCCATTGCGGAACTCTACACATGTAGGTGCTCATTTCGGAAGATAACGGGGTTTAATAAATTGAGGAAAAAACAATCCATTAGGAATATTGATAGATTTTCTCTTTTGGGTATAAATTGAGAGCGTTTGAGGGCACGATGATATTTTTGAAACATTTTCCATGAAGTGTTTGAGCATTCGGAAGGAACTTCAATCCATGGAGTGTAACTTTATTTCGTGCATAAATAATCGATGTATATATATATAATAGAAACTCGTCGATTTCAATTCAAGCGTTTATTTCAAAGCTTTCTAAAGCACTTAGATTCCTACTCCAGGATGGATAATTGTAATAATAACAAATTATGTTCTTAACTACTTTTCTATATAAAAACTCATCTCAAGTTTCTTGGTTTTCAAACTCCAGAAGAACTTTACTTATAAAAGAACTAATTGATTAGGATGTTAAAAGGTAGTTGTTTTTGTTCCCGAAATCGATATGCATATACAGTTGCCCAGCTTATATTTTTTATGAACGTTAGATAACCGTAAAGTTCCTAAGAAGCAGATCAGTACTGTGCTCAACCCTTTTCCGAAAATGACTGAAATTTTTTAAATTAATTATATTATGTTTTTACTAGAAAAGTGAAAATACGTAATTTTAATAAAAAGTTGAAAAAACATCCGTTTGGTATAAGCACTCATATCAGTTGACATTGGAAGCAAAGAAATATCGAAATTATCCATTTGGTGGCCATATAACCACCCTGATTTTGCTTCCCTCGATTTTTCAAACCTAACTTTCCCAGGAGCCTCCAGGTATAATCCATTGAATATTTATTTACATAATGTTTTTATAAAAGTGAAAATCTGTTGACTTGGCAATACTTTCCAATTATTCAAATTGTTAGTGAGAAAATGTATTTGGCGGAAGTAATTAGTCGAATCCTACTGGTACCTGCAGAAGTCTACTCACCTCTCTTGAGGTCATTACCGGAATCGCTAAGGTGATCCGGTATCATACCGGAATTTGGAACGGGCACGCCTTTGTTCATTCTTTCGCAAATGTTGTCATAGTCGAGTTCACAATGAATTTTACTTGAATTAAATCCTATTAGATAATAAGAATTACCTCCTTATATTTGGTGGTTTGCTGTATAAGAACGTTTAGTTCCGGTAAAGTTCAGTGGCTCAAAAGACTCGATTCAAATGAACTATTTGAAGCAAAAACGGATTTAAAGACCACAAATAAAGGTCGATGAATTGAAGCCCATATTTGCATCGGTTCTTCTATTAACTTTTTTTTAACAATAAATATAATAAAAATAGGGATCGAAGTGCAATTAAAAAGTCCGAGTATTTTAAGTAAAACTTAACGATTTACTTTTTTTCTGGCCGAACATAAAGGTTCAGTAGAACCTTGAAAAGGGGCATAATAAGCCTTTTTCTAAGCATTGGAACACAACAACAATCAAAAACGCTCCTTTCCAAGATGTGCGTACTTCACGTCACCTTTACTTTTTGAGTTTCACTATACAATTTTTTAACAATTACATTTACACAAAAGTTTTCAACAAATAAATAATATTTGTATTCCAGCTTTCAGAAACAAATGTCTTTTTCTTCAATAAAAATGTGTTCTTGATATATTTGCATAAAAATAATTATAATTGTCAAACTTTATTTCAAAATACTTTATGAACCAATATGCATATCTGAATTTTAACAAACTTTCCACTTATTTGTATAAAATAGTTTTATTTTTTATTTAAAAATGTAGATGTTACCCATATCGAAATATTCACCATTAGTTGAGAAGTGAATTATCCTCAAATATCCTTTTGCGTATATTAAAAAATATATCCAGCCGTGGCAAAAAACTGCTGGTTGAGTGTCCCCAAAACTACATTTAAACTTAAGAAAAGTGGAAATAATGCATATAAATCATATATTATGCTTATGCTTATAAATTTTATACTAAATGTGAAGTAAACTATTTCATCTAAGTGTGTATTTATATTTCGGGGTATGCACTGTAAAATGCCAATAATTAATGAAATATATTAGAAATTAATGTATGTAAAATGCTTACTGTTTTTGGAAACAAATTTAGTACGAGTGCGTTTTATCACACTGAATATAAATTTTCAAAAACTCTGGTCAAATTGGTAGATGCTTTTTGAGATATAGACCGGAATCCTCGCCATATCTTCCAGAAGACATGGTCTTTTATATTGAAAATAACGTTGAGAAATATAAATAGTTAAAATTTATTAATTTTGCACCAAGAAATCACTATTAAATTAATCTGAAATTATTATGCATTTTCGAAAACTTGTTCCAAATTATGTCACAAACTAATTATACATAGGTACCCAGAACCGAGATTTGGAAATTACAAATAATTAGAGCACATAATAAAATGAGGATATTTTTAGTCAAAGTTTTTTCTCTTAAACTCTCAAAAGTTCCTATTTAAGGTACTTATTCTCCTAGTGTGAGCATCGTTTTCTCATCAACTTATTGTTGTTCCTGAAACATAAATTTCCGATCTAAAGTGTCTATAATGTATATTTAATTTAAATTGTTACAATTCTGCTGAATCACAGTTTAATCGCACGTACTTTTGCAGAGAATGTGGATCGTTGTCCTTCAGAACGTGACTTTATAAAACGATTAGACAAAAAATATGTTTTGCTCGCTATATATGAGAAAACTTGATAGCATTTTATACGGAAACGGTAAATGGGGCATAAAAAACTGCTTTAATAGATACTGTCTGAGCAATTGCCTTTAAATGAAAAGGACAATGTACTTTTTATGGAAAAAACTTGTCAAATTATTTTAAAAAGTTCCATTTGAAAATGTTTCAAGTGTGATTTTTTATACTTTGGGCTAATCTTGAATGATCAAGCATGAAATATTACGCGCAATGTATTTAATAACATTGGATGGAGTGAATGTGAATCTACTAATTGTTCAGCAAATTTGATTTGATAATTATATACATTATTTGAATTAATATATATCTTTTGAATCTAATTTATCCCTGTTTCGACTCTTTTGTAACCTTTTCATCTCCTGCTTCGCTTCTTTTATGAAAAAGAACGTGAATGTTAACCGCTCACTTATTTCGATAAGATATTTACATATCATTCATACATTGTCATATGTTATGAATTAAACCTCAGGATTTTAAATAATAAGATATATTAGGCATCCTTTCGAATCTTGGGCTTCTTATTGAAGAAATGTTTGACTCAGAAGTGGCGCGTCCTGATGTGTTGTTTAAGCAAACCTTTACAAAAATCAGAATTTTAGGTGATTTTAACTATTATCGGCACATTTGTAGCACCTAAATATCTTGTATACCTATATTCTGCAAAATTCAATTTGTAATACAGTCTATATTAGGCGTTAAACATTTTTAAATGTTTTCTTGCATATATGAAAAAAAAAATTCCAAAAATTACTCAATCGGAAATTTTTTTGATTGAATTCTTCATCATTTTCAGACGCAAGTGTCTTCTATAAGTTCTAACTTCTAGCTGGTTATTTCATCTGGACTAGAAATTATAAATATCTCAGTCAGAAGCAACAGTCTGTGAAAATTCAATTCTTAACCAGCTAATATTAGAAAAAGGAAAAAGTTGTTTTATTTTTATAATTTTTTTAGACTTTGTAGCTGTGGCATGTAGCTGTAGATAAGAAATGTTGGTGAAAAGTTTGGTTGAAATATTAACGAGTTTTTTTTTATATGAAGCCTATTCGATTAAAATTGTGAGGAATTTTAGGGTTGCCTATTTTATATCGAAACGGAAAATTTTACGTTGCAACAAGGTTTAGATTATAAGAAAAGATCTTTTCAACAGATAATGTTGTTGTGTGAAATCGTTCAATCATTCGCCAACATTTCCCAATTCAAGATAAAGTCTGCATTCCATGGCATATAAATGAAATTTTCGCAGTTTTTAAGGCCCAGTCAGAAAATTTGAAGTTGCTACTTGGTATAGATTAAGCGTTACGATTTTTAAAAAAGGGGAATGCAGTTCTGTGAGACCGTTTTTTGCATTCTTATTTTTTGCAAATAGGGTTAATTTTTCAGGCTACTCATGTTCAAATGAGTTCCATAAGCTGTGCGGATTTCAAAAGTAATTACTAGTCCTCATTAGGCAGTTAATTTAGATAGTTGATTAGAAGGAAGTAGACTCGAATTTATATGAAATCATTAAGCGGATAAAGTCGATCGAAAAAGAAGATTTGGTGAAATTTAAGTCTTTATTGGTTCCAGGGCAAAGTGCATTTTAAAATTAAAATGATAAAAATTCAAGTAGTTACGTAGTTCAAGTAGGTAAAAGCAACATAAGAAGTTTGAAGTTTTTACATTCGGATAGTGCAGTTCTGTAAACAAGCTAAGTTTTCAACCATCATTTACTATGCAAACGAATATCTGTATTCATTCCAGGTTTTTATAAATCTTTCAAGATGCACAGGTTCAATTGAAATTTTCAAGCTGCTACTTGCTGAGCTTTAGTTGTTGTAAGTTTTAAATCTTAGGGCGCGTTTATGTGCAACCGCTGACTTTTAGGTCGTCATTTACAATTTGGCAACAATTGCAAGCGATTTTAACGAACTAAGGCCGGTATGCATAGTCGATTTTTGACACTTTGCCGGAGATGGTTTTGGCGGATAGACAAGCGAGTCGCCGTCGACGCGAAAGCGACTGATTTTTGATGCAAAGTTGTTCTTCGTTAGATGGAATCGCGGACGATTCTTCCATAGAATGAGCATGCGTAATATCACTATTCTAGTGGCCAGCCAGAATAGTCTTT